TGCATAGAAGAACGTGCGAGTATATCAGTGGCTATGAAAGTGTACTAAAGATCGTGAGTGTGCAAATGCAATTTGTAAGTATACCGTGAAATATACAATTACATCATACTAATGCATCAAAAGGTGTGCGTAGCATATCGAACCATTGAAGTCAATTTACCCGCATGTGCTCTGACTAATGCATCAAACTCTCAAATTTGAGATCAATGATAGTTACACGAGTAAAAGATGAAGTTAATTAAATTCTGTCACTTTAAAATATGTGGGACCCTCTATAAAGTTTTGATATTTTTAAAGTTCAAACTCATCTATGTGTACTTTGACCAATATCTCAAAGCTTCTGAACTTTATTCCTGGGATTAAAACTAAGTTAAATTAAAATATCCTCATTTCGAAGGAAGTGCAACTATTAGACATATTCTATAATTATTTTAAAATTTGTGTACCTTTTTTTCGAATTGAAATACTCACATGTGCTCTGATTAGTGCATAAACACTCTTCAATTTAAGATATGAGAATATCGTGCAAGCATAGCAACAATTTGAGCTACCCCTCATTTGAAGAATATGTAACTATTTTAAAATTTCAAGCCCTTTTTTGGAATTGAAATACTACTAGCAGGTCCATCAATCAATACATTGAACTTTTATATTTCAAGTTTGCGAATACCGTGCTGGCTAAAAGTGAATTGAATTAAAAATTCTATTAATTTGAAAAGCGTGCAAAGCTTTATTAAACTTTCAATCATTTTGAAAATAAAAAAAAACTCTTTTAAAGCTTAAGCTTACCATCATTTTTTTGTTAAAATTAGGGAGCTTGTCCTTGTGTTTTAATGATTACAAATATTATTGAATTTTTATTTAATTTTTCTTGTTTTATATATTGCATATTTTTTTTGTGTGTGTAATATTAACATTTCTTGTTCAGCGTACATAAGATCGTCAGAGAAACAAAACTTAAAATGGGTTGTATCATAGTTTAAAATTGCGCAATATGAGGCTCGCCCTGAGGCCCGCCTCATTGCAATTCCAGTAAAAAATGTCTCGAGGCTTACGCCTCAAGCTTTTTTTATGAAGCTTACGCCTCATCTTGGATGAGGCCCACCTTGAGGCCACTTTGCCTTGATGGCATGTGGGGCATACACCTCACTCTATTTATATATTTTTTTAATTTAAAACTTACCTAAATCCTATACAAAAGCCCTAAAAAAATTCATGCATTCTTACACCCCCAAGTCGCAACAACTTCCTCTCCATTGTGTCGACCTCCAGCCCACCACCTTCACTTTAGTCACCACCTTCATAGTCGCCACAGGGGATCACTAGAAAGCCTGCACGTCGCCACCATCTCTTAAATTTTTGGAGTATTATCTTTAGGTTGATGACAAATATTTATGAAAAAATGAAAATGACTGAAATAAATGAGGAACAAATAGATTGGGAGGTATTAAACCCTACATGATGAGGCACAAAATATACTAATTTGTTGTGATAGTGACTTAAATAAAATCACCTTAGTAATGATAACACAAATGATTTCTGATTTATTGCCAATTATTTCAGATTTTTTTAAAAATTAAATATAGATGAGTAGACAATTGAGAAAAAAAAATTAGAGCTGAATTTGATGTTATATGATACTTTTATGCAATTCATATATTTTTTTGTTCTTTTGTTCCTGTAATATTTGAATTTCAATTCTATTTCATATAATTTATCACTTAAGAATTCACATCTTATACAATTTTTTCTTACATATGCATGTAAATTTGTTATTTCATAGTTCAATAAAAAATTAATATATAATCTTTTAACATATTATTTGGATATTATATAAAATATCACTTTAACTTTTATTTTGACTTTATGCAATTTTTAGATTTTTAGGAGTCTCAAAATGCCTTAAGGCTTACGCCTCACTTCACAAACGAAAAATGTCTCAATACCCAATTGCGCAATTTTAAACCTTGGGTTGTATATGTTATGATTGTTTGAAGGATTCTGTAATTTTATTATTTCTTGAGTTAATTATGTAAAAGATGTTAACTTAGCAACCGTGTACACATAAGGGGAGTGAAAAATAAATATTTTAATTTTTCTATTAATCGTACCATACGATCCACAACGTATTGTACGATCAGTTCAATCATAAATTAATTAAAATATTTAATTTAAATGAAAAAAATATAAATTTAATTATAACTAATCATACTGTACGACCAACACATTGTACAAGACGATCAGCTATAAGTAGAAACCCTGCCAACCATCGAATCTAACTTACCAAAAATTTTGAATATTGAATTTTAAATTACTAATATTATATGAAGTCGTTCATACTGTATGATCTTTTGAATTATTACCTGATTTAAATAAGGTAATTAAGGAATCAAATCAGATCTGCATTATTTATAGATTGTATTGTACGATTATTGATCATAATGTACGAATCATCCGAGGACTCTCTAGATAATGTTATGTTCTTGTACGATTCGATGTTTGATTTGAACTAATCATATTGTATAATTGTTCATTTGTCCAATATGATCACCGAAGAAATTATATTGATCATATTGTAATACTATTTATCGTATAATACTAACAGTCGGACAATTGAACAAATCGTATTGTACGATCTCTTTATCGTATTGTACGAACAAAATCTGCATAATTGAATTATTAGGATTTTTGGAATCCCACTATTTAAGCTTTCTTAATAGATTGTAGAAGTCTTTGGCAGTTTAAGGGTTGAGTCTTCTGTGAGAAAGCGTTGAAGAGGGCTTTGAGCAAAGGAGAGAGAGGGTAAAGTTGTGAGAGAGGGAGAAGATCCTTGTGGGTTCAGGAGAGTGTGAGAGGGAGTTTCACATAGTTGCTCCGACCAATTTATACCTGAGTTCCTCAATTTGTCAAGGTTTGTCTAGAGGAATGCTTTGGGAAAAAGACCCCTTTGGTGTCAAAGGGCCGCTAGTTACTCTGTCGCTTTGCGAAGTTGAAAGTGATTTGAGGCAATCCACCTCACCAAGAGGGTGAAAGTGATTCAGACTACTCTATCTCACTAGGAGGGTGAAAGTGATTTGGGCTACTCAGCCTCACCACGAGAGTTAAAGTGATTTTGATTCTCAGCCGCACTAAGAAGGTAAAAGAGATTTTATAGGAACTTCTCCGTCTAGTTGTAGGAGGCTAAAGGAGAGTCACTAATTATTTAGTGCAATACCCGAAGAGGAGGATTTCAGGGTGTGGACATATGTCAAATTGATCGAACCACTATAAAGATTTTGTTTGTATTTTCTTTTTCTTTTTTGCATTTATTTTCTACGCTTTTCTTTCCTGTTTTTTCTTTTTTGTATTTATTTTCTAAGAGAAAGATGTCCGACATGTAGCTTTTGGACTAGATATTAGTATATTCTCCTTTGCTTTTGGAGCTAGGGATATAAATTTTTTTTACAACTTAGAGGTTGGAGGAAATGAGATGAGACCTATAGCTTTGAGGATATGGAAATGGGTGTTTCCTTGAGCTTTGAGGAGCTTTGAGGCTAAAGGGAACAAGAGAGAAGATATCCAACATATGACTTTTGTGGGAAATATTGGAGCTTTCTCCTTAACTTTGGAACTAAGAAGAGAGGAAAATCTCCTACAACTTTGGGGTTTGAGGAGAAGGAGAGGAAACCATTAGCTCTTGGGCTAAGGTTAGAGATCTTTTAGGGCTTTTGGAGCTCATAGGAGAGAGGGAAGATTTGTAGCTTTGAAGATACAAATAAAAAATTCTTTGAACCTTTAGATGTCCGAAGAAAAGGATTCATTCACCTAACTTGGTTTAGGAGAATAAAGGGGAAACAAGATTAATATTCCTATGTTTGGTATAGGAATATGAGTTGATTTTGGGACAACAAGAGAATTTGTTGGATATGAACTCTCTTATAACTTTTGAGGTTAAGGGCAAATAAATTTCCTTTTAGCTTTGGAGCCAAGGGAAATATAATCAAACCTATAGCTTTAGGGCTAATGGTTATTGAAATTCTCTTTAACTTTTTGAGTCAAAAGAGAAATGGATGAACACATAGTCTTTTAGACCGAAGTTAGGAGGAATTCCTACAGTTTGAGAAGCTAAGGGAAGCAGAATAGAACTCATAGCTATGAGGCTAAGGACTTGGAAGTTTTTTTGGACTTTTGGTGTCATAGAAAGGATAAGTGACCCATAGTTTTGGAACTACAAGTCAAGAAGCATTCATTGGACTTTGCATTCAATGGTGCATGATCATCTACCTAATTTGGATTAAGTAAATGTAGGATAAGTATACAAATATCACAATGAATATTTACGAAATATTTTAAACATAGAGGGAAACATGTTATTTAAATGTCTATAAGGTGGATGACCAAGATGAAAATGGTAAAAGCCAGATGACCTATTTACTTTAGGAGATGACAAATAAAAAAGAAAATTTATTCATTACTATCTTCGAAATACTCAATATTTCAAGATAATAGAGTTCGTTCCTTTTCTTAGCAAGTCCAATATTCCTCCCTAAATCTTAGTCCTATAAAATAATAAACAAGGATGAAATTTTCTTTAATAATTTAGATCTTCTCTGAGCTTTTAAATTTAAACAAAATTTGCTGATAAATTTAATACATGAATAATATCTTTAAGAATATGGACTGATCGATTTGATTGACAGGGAATAAGGACAAATAATGATTTTATTTCTCATTGATTCCAGATAATTGATGCACAATAATATATAGATTCTTCTAGAAGAACGAAGCAGATAATTAATCAAAACAATAAAAAAATTCCTACATTTGTAAATTCCATGATTAATGTATTAAAAGAACCTTCCTAACTTCTCTAATTGAATATATACCAGCATATTTGTTCCTAAACCTTCAGTTACAACAGCCATACATTCCAACATTGTCTCTTTGCAAACATTTAAGTGTGTGATTGTCAGTCAGCAAAGGCAACTTCTAGTGATCTTTCTATTTCATATAAATTTCAGTTAAAGAGAGTGTCGCTTGAGTTAGATGACTGCAGGAGCAGCCTAAAGTCATGCTTGGAAATTAATTCAAAACTTACCAGGTATTTCATGCCATTGAATACAGCTGCCTTCAAGCTTGTCTTTATATCCTAACACTGATTTGTTTTCGTCTTTCTTGTAATGCAGGGAGATAAACAGTTACAAAATGGTATTAAAGAACATTGATGATTCAACCCTTAATCCAAACAATTTTGAACCTCAAGAAATGGTATGCAAAGGGGACTCAAACATCGTTAAAGTTGTGCTCTCTTTAATTCATAGGGCATTCTGTCTGTAGCAAAAATGTGTACAAATTATTCACCTTTTGTTGCTGCTAATTTTATTATCCCGTCTTCTTTCAGGATCTTTGTTTGGCTTTTCCCGCAGAAGCCCCTTGTTCATGTGACAGAAAGCATGCTGAACAAGTTGTGTATCTGGACCTGGAGATAGACTTACTAAAGACGATGTTTGCAGAAGAGAAATCATCTCGCATTGAGGCAGAAGAAAGAGCAGTTCTTGCGGAGACTGAGCTAGGCATAGCTAATGAAAAGCTCCTGCAGATTAGCAAGGGAGATGATGCAACAATAGACAAATTGAAGGAAGCAAGATCTGTCATTGAAGCCCTTGAATCCCAACAAATCCTTTCAATAAATGAACTTGAGGAACTGAGAGAGAATAACAATCAACAAACGGATGCCTTGAAGAAACAGGAGCAGCAGATCTCCACAATGAGGAACCAGCTTGCTTTGCGCATTGATGTAGGGAATAGAAAATCTATTGCACATGGAACTTTGAAAAAATGTTACCCTGAAAGTGAATGTTCTTCTCCTTTGCAGGAGAAACTGAAAAGAGTGCAAGCTTCTCTTGAAAAAGCATGGAACCTTAACAAGAGGTACCAAAGTGATCAAGCTTCTCACACATCTAATGAAAGAGAAATGGATGAAGTCCGTAGGCAGGTTGAAGCTGAAACTGCGGAAGTTATTGTGTGCCTGCAAGAGGAGCTTGCCGCACTTAATCAATTAGTTGATGACTGCAACAAAAATGAGTTGCTGGCCAACCAACGCTTAATGGATCTTGAAAATGATAGGAAAGAGCAAGATGATAAAATCTACTGTTTAACGCTAGAAAATACAAGGCTTGCTAAATTTGCTGAAGAGAAAGAGCAAAATGCGAGGTCAATCATGGGACATTGCGAGGAACTAGCATTTGAAATTTCAGATCTACTTGAGAACGGGAATGCACAACTCGATTATGCTACTTATGAGGCTGCTTCTATTTCTGATATTTGCTCTCACAAAAGCTGGATCTGTGAGCAATTTGGAAAAATTTTTAGGGGCATCTCTAAAAGAGATTCTTTAATTGAAGAACTACAGAAGAATTTGCAGGATGCATGCAATGTAAAGCATGATATGGAGTCAAAATTGAGGTCCTTGAGAGGAGCAACACTGGCTATAACTGAAGCACAGCAGCAAGAGAACTGTGACAAAGAAAGTAGAATTCTCCATTTAACTTCACTATTAGCTGAGAAAACGTCTATAATATCTGAATTAGAAAAAAAAGTTGAGGAAACTGAAAAAAAGGTTAGGAAAGTTGAGATGTGCGCTGCAATTTTTTTCAGTACTATAAACAAATTATATGAGAAAAATAAGGTTCATCTTCAAGCATTGGATGAGGCCAACTTGAAGCTTATAGAATCAGAAAAGTTAATTCTGCAAAAGGATGCTATCATACAAGAAGGCAAAGGATATCAAGATCTGAGAGCACAGCTAGGGCAAAATTATCAGCAGGACAATTCTGTAGAAGTGCAACATGATATGTATTTAGATACCATTTGGAAGAATGAGGAGGAAAACATCATTACGCCAGGTACTTCTTGTGTTCTTGTAGAAGCGAAGATGAAGCTTAAAGAATTTCATATGCGAATGAGTACACTGAAATCTTGTATGCATGAATATGCCGAAAAAGAAAACAATCCAACTGAAGCAGACAGCCTCGGGAAGCACTCTCTTGATGATGCAGGCTTCAATTATGAGAACCAGGTTAGCCAAGGCGTGTTATTTTATTAACAAGCTGAACAAACCTGTCTCGCTGCTTTTATCTTGTGTTTCTTTTTATTCAGTGTATAGATGGTTTCTTTGATATATATTCTCATGAATTGCGTTCTTCAGATTTTTTTCATTGATATTGTGACTGAATGTTGCAGATTAACATTGAGTCTATTCAAGATACTAACATCAGCGTGCAAAAGAATGCTGAAAGAATACAATATATGATTGAGAATCATGGCAGCAAAAATATACTTGAAAGGGAGAAAACCATTGAAATTTTACGAAAGGAAATAGAATCAGCTCTTCAAAGCCTAAAGGACGTGCAGTCTCAAATGGTTGAAATGTTTGATGAGAAAGAAGAGATTAAGAAGTCCATGTTACTCAGCCACGATAGCATCAAAGGTTTGACAGCTGAAGTTCATCAGTTGAATTCAGAGATTCTTAACAAAGAAAAAGAGTTTGAATTTGAGTTGCTCCAATTGGAAGAGAAACTACGAACAGTTGAGGGGAATGCAATGGCATTTAATTGCATCTGGAGGAAAGAAAAGGAGGTAAATGCGCTGTTAGTTCAGTTCTAGATTGCTTATAACTTATTGGATTTTTTTTTTCTTAATGAGTTTAATGACCATATCAATGACTTGAATCCAACAACTGTCATCTTATTTCGGGTCATGCATCCTTCTGTCTGTCTACTTTTCGGCCTCATAAAAAGAATCCCTAAGAAATACTTGCTGAAGCTTTAATGTTAATGTATAGCTTTACTTCTCTTCTAGCAATATGTTAGACCGGTCCTCTATGGACCGGTCCAGCCGGCCCAAACCCTTGGGCCGGCTCGGTTCGTTTACACGAGGAGGCCGGCGGAAGCCAAGGGGGAGACAAGGGTGGGGTCCACTTGAATTTCAAATTCAATCTTGGAGCCAAAAGAGGGGGAAACAAGGGAATTAGGTCCTCTTGTATTAATTTTAAATTGTATGCATTAAGTAGGGAGAAAATGATAGGGTTTGGGTTATGTGAAATTTTGTTAGAGTTCTCTTGTTTTTCTTTGGTGGCTAGGGCTCTAGAACAAATTCTAGAGATTGGGAGAGTACGATCCTCCTCTCAAATAGAGAATCCTTGTATCTTTGCTATTTTTCTTGCATCTACTAGTAAAATACAAGTCGTTTCTCCAATTTTCTCTCAGATTTTCCCTGTTTTTCCACTGTTTTGCTGTTTTTCCTGCTGTGAACAGCAGTTTAGTGAATAGGAAATACTTGAAATCAAGTATTTCCTTCACAATACTGCTAAAATTTCAGCTAGTGTGTGAGATCACTCCATTGATATGCAGTTATCTGATAGTTAACTGCCTAATTACCATGCAGTTTTCATTCATTTCTAAGCTTGATAAATTTATAGCAGGACCTGGAGCTCGAGATTAGTGAAGTGAAGGCTGTTTCTGCTCACAAAAGAGATGAGATATCCAATCTTCTCATTAAGATTGAGGAGGGTCAGGAAACCATGCGAGAAGCTGATGTTGTGGTGAATACATTGATGGAAGCCAATAGGATTGCTAACCTTGAGATTGACAGGCTCAAGAAAACTGAGATCTCTCTATGCCATGAGAATTGTAATTTAGCTAGCAAGTTGCATAAACTCCAAGCCTCCCTTGATGAAAAGGATGAAAACCTTGAGCGCATTCAGATGAACTTCAAGTCAAATATTATGGAAGCGATGGATTTAGTTCTTGCAGTGGAAGATCATTTCATGGGTCTAAAAGATGCTTTTGTTAAGAATTTCACCTTGATTAACCATGACCTTGATGGGCTAAAGTCTTGGATGCTCCAACATATAGAGTCAAGGATGTGCTTAGAAGAGATTTGGTTGGATTTCATAGGAAAAGATTGTGCTGCTTCTGTTTTACATCTCTGCCATGTGGGGGTTTTGTTAGAGAGAATAACTGGATTGAATGGAGAGATCTGCTTCCTTCAAAATGGGCTGTTGGAGTCTAATTCTTTAGTTACTAATCTAAGAGAACAAAATATTAAATCCAACAAGGAAGTTCAGATGTGCAGTGTTCTTAAAGGCAAGCTATTATTAGATATCAACAACAGTTTCACTCGGATCACCAAGAAAGAAAATGAAACCTCGGAATTCAGTGCCAAACTAAACTCTTTTGAAAAGAAAATTGTGGATTTACAGTTCATGGAAGAGACCATGCTGGAAAAATCAAATGATATTGGTCATGAACTTGATGTTTTAAGGGACGAGTTGATTGCTGCAAACAAAGAAATTGCTTTGAGAGCTGCAGTTCAGGAGAAACTTATCAAAGAAAATGAAGAGGCAAATGGACGACTTGAGGAGTTGTCATTACTGCTAAAGGAGGTTCAGGTTACCAATAAAACCTTGAGAGATGAGCTTGACATGGAATCTAATGAGAAATTTAAGGTCACTGAGAGATTGGTGATGGAGCTGTTTAACATGAATATTTCGCTGGATCAGCAAAAGCATCTTCTTGAGGATTTGCAGGAAGAAATGTATTGCATCAAATATGAAAAGGATAACCTTGAATCTCATGTGTCTACCTTGAATGAGAAGTTGAACCTTGTTGAAGAAAATGAAGCTATTGCTGCTGAGCAGCTGGAGAAGCTGTTTATGGAGAATGAGCAGCTGAAATTAAGACTAATGGAGATGTCAATTGCGCTCAATGAACTTCATGGAAAATATGTAGTAATATGCAAAGATTCAGATCATGTTAAAACCATAGCTGTAGAGAGGTTACAGAAGGTGTTGCTTGATGTAAGTATCTTGCTTGGGGAAAGAGATCATCTTGTTGAGGAATTGCAGAAGGACATATCCAGAATTGCACATGAGAAAGACGAGTTTGAATCAGAGGCTTGCACATTGAAAGAGAAGATGAAAATAGCAAATCCCATCGCTGAAACAAACGAGACTCTTGTAACAGAAGCTCCACAAAGGAACCTATTAATGGAGAATGAGCAGCTGAAGTTACATGTAGAGCATACGTCCAGGAGTCTTCATGAGGTGCAGGCTATCAATCGAAATCTCCACGAACAGTTAGAGGATAAAATGATTTCTTCTGAGATTTTGCAAAAAGAGCTGCTTGATTTAAATACTTTGCTTAGCAAAAAATGTCATATTCTTCAGGAGTTTCAGAATGAGATAAATGTAATCACTCATTCAAAAGAACAGCTTGAATCTCAAGTTTCTATCTTGAAAGAACTGCTGGAGATGGCAGAATCCGTTGCTGAAGTGAACGAAGCTGTTGCTAGAGAAGCTCGGCAGGTGCGAATCCTAAAAACTATGGACATTTCAATGGCCTGTCTTATATGTCTATTCATTTAGCTATCTTTCACAATCTCATACAGATTGCAGAGGAAAGAAAAACTTATGCTCAGGCTAAAGAAGAAGAGGTTAAACTGTTAGAGAGGTCAGTTGAAGAGCTTGAATGCACAGTTAATGCTTTGCAAGAGCAGGTAGGTTGGTATGCTCTTTTTGGTATTGCAGCGTTTTTCTATGGAAAACTGCATTTCCATTTGAGTTTACCATGATTTTCAGGTAAAGATTGTGAAAGAGGAAGCTGAAAGGCAAATACTACAACGAAATGAATTGGACATGGAAGAAGAGGCAGTGAGAAGTTCTAATAATGTCTGGAATGTAACTGAGACTGGACATTTCGATCTTTCTAGGTTAGATTCACAGGCATTTTTCTCAGAATTTCTTGTATTAAAAGCTGCTGGCTATGGTGAATTTTTCTTCCTTGCAGGCATCTTAAGGAAAAACTAACTGAACTAGAGGATGCTCAACATATTATTCAACTTCTTCAAAAGAAGGTGGCGGATAAGGATTTAGAGGTTTGTGTCTTGTTTGGGTTGTTAAGTTTGACTTCATATGCGCACACATAATGAAAAGTATGAATGACTCCTAAATTATTAAATAGAGTAAATAAAAGCTTTAAACGATTAATCTCTATTACATTCAATGTTTTTAAATTTAATATCAGTGTTTTTCTATTATTTTCTACGCTAGTAGGAACAAACACTTGCGTATGTTAGCATTTCATGTTGATTTACATTTCCTTCTTCAATTGCATCATTATGATAGCCAGTCTATTACTCTAGATGAGGTCTTTGGTATCTATATAATTTCAGTAGTTGAATACTATGCTGAGGGTGCTCAACATAGGTTCAACTTCAAAAGGTGGCTGTAGAAAAGAGAAGCAGAGGTTATATTGTGGTTGTTAAGTTTGACGCCCCATATATTTTGACATCTTGAAAAACATTAATGATTCGAAAATTATCCAAAACAATAAATAATAGGTATTTACCTTTAATTTTTGTTACAGCATTTTCGATTTAATTAGTGAGCATTTGCATTTGTAGGCTGTTTGCATTGATTTAACTGAATATATCAGATTTGTGTAGCTGATTTTCTTTTACATGATGAACATTTATTTATGCTTTTTTCAAAATTTTAATACCCATCAATTTTATTATATTTCATTATCATCGTAAGCCCAATTTTATTATATTTCATCATCATCGTAAGCCTTATCCTAATTATTTGTGAGCAGCTTTATGAATCGCTATTTTTACTTTTTCTTATTGAGTGTTATTTGTACTGTTAAATTTATTTTTCATTAATTATTATAAACGTTTATTCATATTACCTTAAAATATTATTTTCTCTTATAATTTCGTGGAACTAATTTATCCACTTGTCTAACAGTCGTTCTTTGCACATATCCTAACTATAAAGCACATACACTTTTTAAATACCTTTTTTGTCTATGTTTGACACAAATATAACTCCAAGACGTAACGACATATATCCAACATCAAAATTGTCTTTGTCATGACCTGGCCCGGATGCTCGAATTAACGAGGCGAGAACAGACGGTCGAACGGTTGATTAATATTTTCAATTACTAACTAACATTTCCAATATGCAGTAAGAGCCACTAAAATATCAAAAAATATATAAATATCTTTCTATTGGAACGTCGTGCCTACGATATATATTTTCTTCTCTTCTACTCATTTTAGTTATATTAAATTATACCTGAAAATATTTTTCAATTAAAAAGAGTATGTCATGTATAACTCAATGAGTAAAGCATACTTCTAAATCACAGTAACACCAAGCATTATGAACAATATGCATGATCTTTTCAAAACATAATTTAATTCTATTTATAATTTATCTCAGAATATGACCATCTAAATTATATATTGTATTTTATCTTTTCATTTTATCCTTCAATTTGATTGCTTTGGATGTCTTCTTTAACGCCCTTCCTTTTATGTTGATCTCTTCTCTTCTGAGTGATTTGAAAGTCAATATTTACCCTTCTATCTCTTTCTACCAGTACTGAATAATCCTCGATTCATAAAGATGTTAAATATTGCCTAATTGTACTTTTAGACCAAATAGAAATCTATAACATTTTTCTTCTGTTGCAATCAATTGTGGTGCATATCTAGATAGAGTTGTAAATTCCGCTTCGTATTGCATCACCATTTTGTCTCCTTTAACCAATCATATAAATTTATCTTGCATTTGCCTTCTTGCTGACATAAGTACGAACCATTGTCTGTAAAGTTCCACGAAGTCTTTTCCAGTTAATCAATGTATTTGGAATATCTCCTAACTTATCTTCACGTTGCCCTCTCCACCATCTTTCTGCTTCTCCATTCAAGACAATCGAAAGTTGAACGAACCTTCTACAAGCATTATTGATTGCGACAAACGCCATCTATGAGCAATCGGAGGATGTTGAAAGAGGCTTCTGCGAGTGTTCTTCTCTATATAAGTCATCAATGTGTCCTAGAATCCTCTTCGCCATCCAGTTTTAGCCTACACACCCCATATAACCCTAAGATAGTATTTCTCTAGGTTATTAATTTTGTGTTTTTTCTATGAGCATTTCTTTTCAGGTATTATTGGTAAGCTTCGATAATGTGAGAACAAAAATAGAATTGATTAATAATTATTTGATTATTCTAACATCTTTGCCATTTGGTTATTACTTTTGTGTTTTTTATGCATTGTGATTTTTGTTAAAGAAAATGTTTCATTTAAATATGAAAAATTTATCTTAGTATGACATACTCTTTTTTAAATTAGAAATATTAGATAATATATTATAGTACATGAGACATGTATATTGTAGTTTGATAAAATAACATTATATGCACTTTTTTAGAGAATGCCTTTCTTTGCTCCTAATGTGTTTTTTACATTTGATACTATACAAATTTTTTTTTTGTCACAAACAGTTCGAAAGATGTAAATTTCATAAAGACCTTCATCATGAATTATTTAATGAGATAATTAATTTTCAATGAATTTGTAAAGTGATGCATGTAGAAAATGTTGGAAATTATATATTTTATATTAAAAATTTATAAAATTAATATCATGTTTGCAGTGAATCATATCCTACTTTTTATAGTTGTCATGTCGTCATATTTGTGACATAGTATTTTTGTATCTTTGTGGGCTCTGAAAAATTTTCACCGTGCCTCTTGCTAAAAGAATTAGGATGTATTTCGGGTCAAATTTTTTTTATGGCGAATCATAGTTTAAAATTGCGCAATCTGAGGCGCGCGCCTTTGTGCCATTTGCTTCAAAATAGCCTCAAAGCCTACGCAATTCTCAGGCATTATGAAGCGTACGCCTTAGGTGGAGTGAGGCGCGCCTCACTAGCGTTATTACGCAATTTCCTTTGAGGCGTACACCTCAAATATATGCTCAATACCGCTTAGTACATGCTCGGTACCACTCAGTATATGCTCGGTACTGCTAGGTACATGCTCGGTACCGCTCAGAACTGCTAGGTACTGCTAAGAAACACGCTCGGTACCACTCTGTATCTTCCCATACAAATAACTTACGAACTTCAAAAATAAACATAACTTCAAAATTACTTTTACAATAAAATTTTGTTTCGGGGGCGCTGCCCATGGAAACCCCCGCAGAGGGGCAGCGCCCCCTTGGACCCCCGGCAGTCTGGCATATTGTTCTATTCATCATCTTTAGTAATAGTTGTTAGTGTTAGTCTACTTCTTCATGAGTGCTTTGATTGGAAGACATTGGACTCTATAGGAGGAATTTTTATTGCGTCCTCCCACCTGACGTAGAGATACGTCCTCCCAGAGCTAAATTCGCGCACTTGAAAACGGGTCGACGGGTCAATCCGGGTTGACCCGAACCCGGCTCGGGTCGGGTTCGGGTCCTAAATACTGACCCGTTTCTATAAACGGGTCGGGTTCGGGTTGACCCGGTTAGGTTCGGGTCAAGTCGGGTTCGACCCGAACCCGACCCGTGACCCGAAATTGACACCCCTATGTACTGACATGTACCAAATTTTTAAGGATTTTTATCGGTGCCCAAAAATTATGAAAAAATTTGTGAATGTAAAATACAACAATCAAAATACTACGATGAAGATGGTTTGCGATTTGGAGTTATAATGACTCAAGAAAAAAAATGGTAAAGTTAAACTACGAGCTATTACAATCTACCCACCTTAAGAAAATATCGTCCCTAACATTTTCCTTAAGGATTCGGACATAAAATCAAGATAAATCTAATATGTATAATCAAAACTTAAATCAAATCAAAACTTAAATCAAATCAAAACTTATCAAATTTCATATAGTTATGCAGTTTATTCTATCCATCATACCCAACTTTGCATTCAGTTATACACCTTAAACTAATGCACTTATCCATAGGCGGAGGGAGGGGGGCAAGGGGGGGGGGACGTGCCCCACCCCTAAAAAAATAAAAATAAAGGATATAGTAATATAAGAACACAGCAAAGATAATCTTAAAATATAAACTTCACATTTAAGAAGACAAATACATGAGGATAAAAAAAAAGTAAATGACTAAAAATATAAAAGATAAAAGATTTATAAAGAACAAATTCATTATATTTTTTTGGCTCCATTCTAGCATGAAATACTACCACCAAAGTTTTAATTTATAACACCATAAGATATATTGCTAAAGTAATAGCCCGCTTAGCCAAGCCTAATTTTCCAAGATTTCATGGTATCGAAACTTAAAGTTACACAAAATTAAGATAAAATATAAATACTTTAGTTATTAATGAAAGAAGAATGATCAAGAAAATGGTAAATAAACAATAGGATATCTTAGTTGTGTATGAAGTTACACCAACAACAACAATAACAACAATTCTTTATCCTACTGCATAGGGTGAGCTATATGAAACTTTTTTCTATTTTGAAATGATAAAATTATTTTTTAGTAGTTGTTTGTATGTGACACTTTTGTGAAAATGTTTTTTTACGAAACTTAATTTTTCGACTGTTGTCAAAAGCTTTTTGATATTTGCTTCTCGGTTAGAAACTTTCTTTCTTTCAACCAATATTTTTAAAACTGACTTTTACAAAAAGTACCAGATAACCAAATGAAGCTTTAATGTAAAAATATCAGTGAAATCGATTTGCAAAACGGACATCTGACGGCCCCAAAATCCTTGTACTGACATGCATAAATTCTTTAAGGATTTTTTGATAGTGCCCAAAAATTATGAAAAAAAATCGTGCAAGTAAAATATTACAATCAAATACTACGGCGAAGACGGTTTGTGATTTGGAGTTATAATGACTCCAGAAAAAAATTGGTAAAGTCAAAATACGGGTTATTACATTGTGTATCCGAGCGCCCCGGCTTTGTGTATCCGAGCGCCCTGGCACTGCATAGTTTGCTTGGAGAAAAGATAGAGAGCAGAGCGTTGCAACGCTCAAGATCTGACGTTGCAGCGCTGTAAGGAAGATTGGAGATAGAGCGTTAAGTGTCATGGCACTTCAAACTGGCACCGCAGGATTGTGAAGCCAGCTAGATAGTCTTTCTGCATCCCTTGGTGGTATGTATTATATCTCCTTGTTTGTTTTTGTGTAAGAATGGTGTAAGAGAGAAGGTAAGGAGAGAGTGAAACTGATAGGAAATACTTGATTTCAAGTATTCCCTAATCACTTTAGCAACAAATCTCATGGCGAGCTGCTGTCCACAGCAGGAAATCAGCCCAAAACAGTAGAAAAAACGAGGAAAACTGCTGGAGACTAGGAGAAAACACCGGTATTTTACTAGTAGATGATGAAAATAGCAAAGATACAATTTGTTCTTCGATTCGAGAGGAAGAACGTACTCTCCAAAGTCTCCGGCGAAGCCAAGAGCCCCAAAACAAAACCTAGATCTCAAAGAGAAAACTCAAATTCAAGATGATGAGCTAATTGCCCCCCAAACTCCTAATTATACAAAATTAATCATAAAGGACAATCATAAACTTCCTAAAACAGCCTTTTACGTTCAAAATTTCCCTCCTAAACTTCACGGCTCACGGCAGAGCCGTTTCCACCCGTTCGGCCTTCTCGCATGTGTCTCGCGTAGACGCGGACCGGTCCCTGCTGGACCGTCCAACCGGCCCATCCTGGGCCGGTCTAACAGAAACATAAGAGAGATCTGTACTATTTTTTATTTATTTTCATAGTAAATTTATTGGTGTGGTGTGGCTCTCTGGTTTTTCCCGGTTTTTTATTTTTCTATGTTAAATCCTGGTGTTCTTTTATTTCCGCTGCTTTTACATTTTTTGAGTGTGTTTGTTGTTTGTTTTACTTCCAACCCTAAGTGTTAGTACTTTATTATCTGGTTCCATGTTTCCCTTATGGATATCTCTTTTGATTATCTCTTTCGATAAAAAGAGAAAACATTTGATTAAGGTTAGGCATTTGGTGATCTCAAAGTGTGCAACATATACTAGCTGCAGATTTTGTTGGAATTTAAAAATTACCATTCTATAATTAAAACAGATTGTGGGAGGAATGATGATGAATCTGATTAAGATCATATGGTTTTGTCGTCCAGGGTTGCCGTGGTCTTAAGTGTATTTAGTTGGAGGATATTGTCGATCTAACTTGAGCGAAGGATTTTTCTCAGCAGCCACGAGTTGCTTCATATAAGGATGGATGGAATTGGGATGGATGTTTGTTTGAGTTGACTTTACCTAATAGAGGATTTTGTGCCCTATCAAATGCAGCCTATGATTTATTTCCTAGACTTGGGGTGGATGTTTGATTAAGTAGCAGAGCCCTGCATTTGGTACCTATACCCACCAATACCCAATGGGCATGGGTGGGTATGGGTACGCCCATGGCCTTATGGGTGGGTGTGGGTGGGTACTCAACATCAGGGGACAAACCGATTTACATTACTAATCACCATATTCATGCAGTATATTACAGTAATCCTTACTACGCAGTGAACCGCGTCGCGACCACGATAAATTTTGATGTGGCTTGAAAGTTTGCAGTCAGAGAAAAGGGCAAAAAACCTCAAGGACATTAATCAATGACAGACTACATTCAAGAAGCATGGAAATTGGGTTGGTGTGGGTGGGTATGACATCCCTAAAGTCATCATAGTTGGGCGGGGTGGGCAAAGCTCGCCAGCGCAGAGCATGGGTACCCAATGGGTGCTCAACCAGGACCCCATGTAGGGCTTTATTAAGTAGACAAATTTGAGTTGACTTTATCTTATAGAGGGCTTTGTGGCCTATCAATCTCGTAGTATGATTTATTACCTAAGAGTTTTTTTAGTCATTGGAGATCTTTGCAGGCTTTGGCTGTGATTGTAATTTACTTTTCTTCATTTAATTATCTTTTTGTTTAGCTCTAGAATCACATTCTTCTATATAGCTCTACAATCACATTCATTTAATTCTCTTGTAATTTACTTTTCTTCAATTACATTTTTTCAGTTTTGAGCTGCAACTTGTATAGCCATAAACATGCATAATTGAGCTCCCAAAATTGAGAACTTGATAAGCTCTTGGTTTAGAGTTGGCTAATAAAATATGAGGAACTATACCTTATTGAACCTTACACTTTTCTGGTTGCTCAGATTGTCCATTGCAAATCAATCATATCAAAACTGACATCCCTAAAGTCGTGGGCGTGGGTAGGCAAAGCTCGCCAGCGCAGAGCGTGGGTACCCAATGGGTGCTCAACCAGGACCCCATGTAGGGCTCTGTTAAAGTAGACAAATTTGAGTTGACTTTATCTTATAGAGGGCTTTGTGGCCTATCAATCTCATAGTATGATTTATTACCTAAGAGTTTTTTAGTCATTGGAGATCTTTGAAGGCTTTGGCTGTGATTGTAATTTACTTTTCTTCATTTAATTCTCTTTCTGTTTAGCTCTAGAATCGCATTCTTCTATATAGCTCTAGAATCACATTCATTTAATTCTCTTGTAATTTACTTTTCTTCAATTACATTTTTTCAGTTTTGAGCTGCAACTTGTATAGCCATAATCATGCATAATTGAGCTCCCAAAATTGAGAACTTGATATGCTCTTGGTTTAGAGTTGGCTAATAAAATATGAGGAACTATACCTTATTGAACCGTACACTTTTCTGGCTGCTCAGATTGTCCATTACAAATCAATCATATCAGAACTGAACTTGCATGCAGAAGCACAGTCAAGTGAATACAAGCGGAAGGTACTCCGTCCCCTTTTATTTTTTTTCAAACGAATGCATACTTATTTGCTTCTTGGTGCGTGTTTCAGTAATTTGCCAATTGCCATAACCACACAATGAACAACCATGTCTTCTACTATTTGTTTTTGATAAGTACTCTTCTATGTGCAGTTTAAGGAACTTGAGGCCATGGCATTCCATGTCAAAAGCGAGCTAGTAAACCCCAACACTGCAAGTCTGACATCAACGAAGCCTGAAAAAGGTTCAGGAAAATCTAGGGGCTCCGGTTCTCCTTTTAAATGTATAGGGTTGGGACTAGCACAACAAATCAACAACGAGAAGGATGAGGAGCTAATTGTTGCGAGAAGCAAGATCGAAGAACTTGAAGCTTTAGCTGCAAACCGACAAAAACAGGTAGTGCAGGCTTGCTTGCAATATTATGCTCATGCATGTATTTACATCTGATTTAGGCTTCGGTTGGGACAGCTTTTTTGTTGCTTCGTAAATTAGCTTTTGAGTTCAAAAATTAAAATTTTTGTACTAGAAAGTTGCTTTAAGAAGCAACAAGAAAGTCGACCCAAATGAAACCTTATTTGTTATTACTTGCCTTGAGCGTGCTGATTCAGGCTCTTGTTGCTTTTGTTTATTACCAGATTTTTATGTTGAATATACGCTTAGCAGCAGCTGAGAGCATGACCCATGATGTTCTTCGAGATTTACTGGGCATCAAGTTGGATATGTCGAAATATGCAGTGAGATCACCACCTTTATATTCAAATTAGGCTTTTGTATCTGTACTTGGATTATTCTCATATTGGTGCCTGTTTTATTTTTTAATGCTGCTGCAGAAGATGAATGAGAGATCTCCGTCAGATAATGTAGTCGAGGAAAAGGTTTGTACGCTGGCTTTGTTCCCCCAATAAGTAGTAAATGCTATTCTTATGATAAGTATTTTACATTAAAAGGATGAGGAGTGGGGAAAGCTGAAAAAGCAAGTTGATGAATTTGTTGAAGAGAGACAAAGGTGGACACTTAAACATCCTGCATTACAGAACTCTTGTGATTAACTGATAACCTTTTGTGCCTCTCTGAACTAAGGCGTACATGATATTTTAGGTTGCTTGAAGAAATAAATCAAAGACACAAAGAATTAATGGCCACACAAATTAGTTTGGAGAAGCTTGAAGAGCATGACAAATTGCTTTCTACCGAAAATAAATTGTTGAAGGTCTTTCTTATTTCTTGTCTAATGATTTTTATTATTTTATATTATAATTTATAACTTTCAGGATGATGAAATTCAATACTAATTCTTTATGTTTTGTAGGTTGATAATGTCAAATACAAGAACATTATCATGGAACTCGAAGAGGAATTGGAAAAATCTCTCTAGCCAGAACAATCTCCAACAGTATAGTTCCTTTCAATTTTACTTATAAAGGAACTGAAGCACGATTAATGGACAGAGTATAATCTTGCTGCCCACCGACAAGCTGAGTAATTTCTCGTTGGCCTCTTACAATCGAATTTTTTGGCCAACTAATTTACACTTTCTTTTGTTCTTTGATTTGTGGTTAACCTCTTTTCCTGGAGGTTGGACGCAGTGAAAATGTAAAGCAGTATTTTTTTTTTTTTCATGACTTTTCACAATAATAATTCTGATATTAATGTTGACAAATCTAATAAGCTGCAATATCTTATTCAAAGAAGAGTTGCACCTCATTAATAGATTGGCTTGTCAATATGTAAGGTAGTAGATCCTGAATTGTAATTGGATGAATGGAACTGTGGTGTTGTTTTTTGATTTCCAAAGCAGTTTGAATTGTAATTGGATGAATGGAATGGATAGATTTTCGGGTAAGTATATAGTAGAGACCATTGTTTTAACTATCTTGTTGTTACAGATTTTGCCATACTTAATCAGAGAATCATTTCTCCTTAATATGACACTATGGAGGAAAAAATTCATGTAGCTGACCTACGTGAGATAAAGTGAGATAAAGATTTGGATTTTTTTTTTTTAACCAAAACCAAATTTTATTAGAAAAAAAATGTCTGATACAACACACTGTCAAAGTACAAGCACAGGCTAGTGAAGAAAAAAGTACAGTCATAGGAATACAATTCTCGAAAGGGTTAGAAGTGTGATAACGGGTAAATCAATCGGACTTATATCGCCACCTGGTTGTTAGGCATGGGCCATTCAAGGAGGAAAAAAAGAAAGCATCCAAAAAAATTGACAACTAGCAAAATTGAAACCTCCACCAAGGTTGCCCACCAAGCCTAGGTCATCCTAGGTGCATGCAGTAAATTTGTTTCATCATTGTCCGGACCCATTTCTCTGTTGCACTGAAAGCAATTTCAAAATAACCAACAAAGCTAAAGTACAGTCATAGGAATACAATTCTCGAAAGGGTTAAAAGTGTGATAACAGGTAAGCCAAACGGACTCATTTCAACACCTGGTTGCTAAGCATGGGCCATCCAAGGAGGGGAAAAAGAAAGCATCCAAAAAACCGACAACTAGAAAAATTGAAACCTCCACCAAGGTTGCCCACCAAGCCCAGGTCATCCTAGGTGCATGCGGTAAATTTGTTTCATCATTGTCCGGACCCATTTCTCTGTTGCACTGAAAGCAATTTCAAAATAACCAACAAAGCTAAAGCCAGTCAAAGACCAAAATGAACAATCATTTCTTCTCGGCTATATGATTTCTAGACTTATCATTCTTTGTAAGAAAAACATCGTCTGCAATTAGAAGATCACTCATAGCGAACTCATTCGTCTCCTCCCCACCGTCTGAATAAAAACATTCTTTAAGATCCATCCAATCACATTGATCCAAAGCTCTACTACCTGCAAGATAGTGAGATAAAGATTTGATGTTGATGTTGTTATTTTTGTTTAGGGTTTTAGAGTTGTCAAAAAATGGCTTAATTATTCTATGCGGACGTCGAACGCTGTCTGGATACCAATCAAAATGCACCACGTTACCGCTATGCTCAGTACTGCGGATCGGTACTGTTGACGTGGTGTGCATTCTGATTGCTCTCCAGACAACATTTTCCATCCGGCCTCCACACAGAATAACTTCTCCAAAAAATCTGAATGAAGTTCGAGCTAACTAGTAGTTCGGACTTCATACGGTGAACTATTTGATGTTCTTAAAAGGTGATTGATTGGACTTTAAAATGTTGCAGAAGTGAATCCATTCAGAATGATACTGCCAACCATTTGGACATGGGCAACTTTCATGATGTGAGAGATCAAACAAACATACATCACATGATGGAGGCTTCTTCTTCTCCAAAGTTCGAACTAGCTTGGCATTAGTAACTTGCATAGAGAACAAAGAGGGCTTCTGCCTTCGTGATAAGAAGAGGTGGAGCCACACTGACAGAGAGTGGTGATGGGAGGTCTCGAAGCATGCTTTTTTATTCTCCCATAAAGTTCGAACAGATATTTTTCTTCAGATATTTAGAGAAATTATTAGGTGCGGGTTGCAGATGCAAATCTGTGTCCTTCATCGAACAGAAAAAGGATCAATATATGTTTAACTCAGAAAAATGCATGCAGGGAGTTGCTGCTTTGGGTCCATTGTCTACATGGATGAATAGTGAGCTGAGCCGGCTCGAATTCGACTCGGTAATATGCTCACAAGCCGAGTTTATCGAGTTGCACGATCGAGCTCGTATGTTAAACAAGCTTGAGTTCGAGCTTTATGAGGCTCCACTCATGAGCTTGCGAGCATACTCGAGTGCCGAAGGTGAAATCATGAAGGTGCAGAGGCGGAAGGCATAACCGCGGGCGCGGAAGCGGAGCCGATGACACAGAATCTGAAATTGAAATCAGAAGCGGAAGAGAATGATGGCCTTACACCTCTCGAGCTCATATCCATCGCCACGAGCCGAGCCATGACGGGAGCTCGACTCAACTTGTTTATACCCCTATTGATGTTTTCTTGACAAATTAAAAATTTGTCCAACCGTAAGGTTGATTTTCAGTACGAAGGTGCAATTATTCATAGAAAAAGGGAGATTTGTTGGTAGGTCACGAATCATCGGGAATGTTCTTAATTGAGCTCTTAATCAGGATTGATGAACTAGTTACTTGTAGAAGTCACATGGATTCCGATAAGTTTATCTTTTCGACATGTAAGAGTATAATAAATATTTTTTACTTGGTTGTTTTTTTTTAAATAAATATTATAACATTTTAATTTGTACTAAATAGTATAGTTATTAATCATAGATAAAAATAACTGAAAAATAATTAAAAAATAAATAAATAATATTTCGTATTTTTGATGCATAAAATTGTCGAGAATATATTTTCACTCTTTAATTGGATCGTATAAATTAACAATAATTACCGAAGTGAACAAATTTTTTTTTTTGCTGAGTTTATAGGTGGATTAATGCAGCATTACTCAAGATATTATACGCATAGATTACAGGGTTCTTGTTATATTCTCAAATTTTATCTTCCAAAACTTTGTCGGAAAAAAAAAGAGGTCAATTATTTAAAATTTTATATTCTTAAATTTATTTTGAGATAATTGCAATAAAAAGTTTTAGTTGATTATTTATATATTAATTAATTTCAAAATAAATTTAATAATTAAGGATATTCTTATAAAAATATTAAAAATTTTATTTAGATAATAATGATTGCGAAGCATAAGTTTCATGTAAACAGATTTGAATTTTTTTTTTAAAGTTTTTATATAAATTAATAAATTTGAACACTAACTCGACTATATTTGTGAAGATGCTCATTTATTATTTAATTAGCTTATTATGAATATCATAAAATGCTAATTTATTAATGGTTTAAATTTGTGTAATTGATGGCTTAATTTATATTATTGTGCCAATTTTTTTCATATTTTATGTGCTTTAAAAATCATATGTATTATTACATGCTTATATACATCATAAAAAGAACAATTATTACGTTCTCCGACCGAATGTTTCTCTCATTCGGTCGACCGAACCAAATAAAACTTCTCATAAAAATATCTAATAAATAGCTTTATTTGTAGGATTATACATTTTCTTATTTAAGTTTAGACTGCACAAACCAACTTAAATAACAAGTAATGAATTATACTAATTTTAAATAAAATCAATAAATCCAATTATATATAGTAATTAGGTTCTATATTAAAATCAATAAATCTATTTTTTTAAAATCTCAAAATTTAATGAAAGAGAAAATTGTTGTTTATTATTTTCTCTCGCTCTTGAATATTTGCATGGTATTAATATAAATATTGATAGTTCATTTTGTAAATATACAACATTTAATTTATACATGTGATTGCCCTTTATTTTTAAAGGTAATTTCATACATGCCCATAAATTATTTATAAAATTAGCATCACTCTACTTCTATTTATTAAATTCCCATCAAAATATTAAAAATAATAATAACATGCTATGTGAAAGTCGATTAATTATTTTGTACGGATGTCAAACATCGTCCGAAGATCAACCAGAATATGTCATGTCACCCATATGCTCGGTATCGTGCGGTACCGCGGCTTGGTACTGCTGAATGGTGCATTCTGGTTGGTCTCTAGACAGCATTCTGTATCCGATCTCCACACAGAATAATTTGTTGTGAGAGTGACATATATAAATAATACATTAGTTGCTATTTTTAATGTATAATAAATTTATAAATAAGATAATTTATAATATATAAAAAATATAATACATCAATTAAGATAAATTCATAAGTTTCTGAAAATTTCAAAGAGCCCATTCTCCGTTGAGTCGAAGCTGCAGTCTTAGTGGAGGAAGAATCGAATCAAGCTACCATCTCTGGCAAACACTCCTTCCAAAGGCTGCTCTTCTCGCACTTTCCCACTGCTCAATAACAACGAGAATCTCCCCGGCATACCTCCTCACATTTCATTTCATCTTTTTCCCTTCTCGTGCTAACTCTCTCTCTCTCTCTCTCTCTCTCTCTCTCTCTTACACGCACTCAATGCAGTTCTGAGCAGAAGAGTGACATATTAATGCCATTTTTTATAGAACTAAGCTTCGTTTGCAAAGCATTATGTGTTACGGAGAAGAAAAATGGCAGTTCATTATTGCCTTTTATTCGCTAATCAAAGAATTTAACACAAACGAAGTCCCAGCTCTCTTTCCCTCTATATGTCATCTCTTCTGTGACAGTTTGCAGAGGCAAGAAGCCAACATAAGGCATCTGTAGATGAACAGCAAGCTGATTTAGCTGCACCAATCAATCAAAAAAAAACACTCTTCAGTCTCCTCATTATCCATCATCAATCGTTAGCCTTATTCCAACTATATATGAATCCTCGATCAATAATCCTGTCATTCAATGCTTATAACCTATTCTGTCTAATTCATTTCACATAGTGACTATCACTATAATTTTATACTATCTTCTTCTTCTTCTTCACACATTCATAAGTAAGCATTCTTATTTTGATTCCTCAATAATCTAAATGATGAAAATAAAATCAAAGGAACATGAGCAAGAGAGTCATTTGAATTTATCAAACATATAATTTCTCAAGTACATTACAGCCCAAGTTCTTCCACTATCCATTGATCAGCTAACATTCTTCAAACAAACACACAATTAAGTTGAAAACACAAAGAAGATCGAAGAAGAAGAAGACGATGAATATAAAACCTAAAAAGCAACTAACAAGTAACTATAATTCACAACAAATACTGACTGAAAGCAAAGCAAAAACAGACCTACATGATTATCTCTAACTGAAGGAGCTAGCTAGAATGATACCGATCATTTGGTTTAATTAATTAATTTGTACTCGACATATCAGACCATGATGAGAATGCTGGATTCCAATATCCGAATTCACCTCCCATGGCTGGCTCAGCACCAGCCACAGCTGAATTGGAACTCCCCCCTCCACCACCAATACTACTAGTCAATGTTGCAGAAGTTGCCAAAGAAGAACATCCGGGAGCTGACCAACCATTGCTCATGGCAATGCTCAACTGATCATTGCAATAAGCTTGCGGCCGCAGCTTTTGGTAAAGCTCCTGAATTCCAGCGGCTGCCGCCGCATCCCCAAATGGCGAACCATTCTCCTGAAGCTGGAGATATGGCATCTGCCCTTCATTCCTCCACAGAGAACCCATCCCAGCGGCACTCGAGAACTGACCCAATGGGTCCAAATTCAGGCCGTTCAGTCCCAGCCCGACTCCTGTGGGCTCGGCCATCATACCTTCCTCCTTGATTCTAATGGAGCTAAGGCTGCTAAGAGGACTGGGTTCAAAACTTCGGATGGCAGCCCCTCCGCCAGCGCGCAGAAGAGCGAGAAGATGGGAAGTGTGGGGCGGTGGGGTTGGCGCCGTCGGCCCGGTCCATAGAATTGGACTGGGCTGGAAGAGCTCGGGTTCGAACCCGAACCCGGCCCGAGCAATGGCATCAAGGGAAGGAATTTGCTTGTTAGGCTTGCTCCCACCACCAGACTTCCCGCTGCCGGCGACGATTGGAACCGGCTTGGCCTTGCGGCACCCGCCACCAATAGGGACGTTGCGAAGGGCGCCGCCTTTGGTCCAATAACGGCGGCAAGTCTTGCAGAAGTGGCGCGGCTGCGTGAGGTTATAGTTGTTATAGTAGCAGAATTTGGTGTTTGAGGAGTCGCATCGTGGGCACCTCAGCTTTTGCTGAGGCGGCTCAGACGCTGTTGATGGTGATGGAGAGGAAGAAGGCTGTATGGTAGATGAAGAAGAAGAAGGAGATAAGGTGGTGGCTGTGGACGTAGAGTAGAGGAAGGGAGAAGGAGCATCGTCAGATACAAGACGACCTCCGCCTGGGAATGAGAACTTCCTCTCTTCCACAACAGCAGATAAGAGTTCTTGAATCATTCTTTGTGATCTTGCAAGAGCAAATAAAGAAGAACAGTGAAAAAGAATTGTGTTTGCTTTAGTGTAGTGCTTGGAGTGTAGTGAAGTAAAGCAGTGGTAGGAGACTGGGCCTCGCTGGGTTTTATATAGAGGAAACTAACGTTGGCTCATGAAGAGGGAGAGAAAGAGAAAGAGAGAGGGAGAGAGAGAGAGAGAGAGAGAGAGAGAGAGAGAGAGAGAGAGAGAGAGCTATGGATTGTTCAAAACTCCTAAGCGCTTTGTCTTATCAGCAAAAGAGGATTTCATGTGTGGAAAGTTGTTTTGGGAGTTTTTCCTCTGTGCTTTCCACATGGACTAAATGCTTTCATTTGTATCTATACTCTTTCTCATTCATCTAATCATCAAAAGACTACAAATATCTTGTTTTTATTAATAGAAGTGCTAAAGATTCAAACTTTTTAACATTTTCTTAACTAAATGCAGTTCGTTAATATGTTTACAATGATATGGGTTGATTGGTTATTGATTTGAGTGTTCAGTAATCCTTGTTTTTACTCATATAATGTAATCTTTACATGGTTGCTTTATATGGGGCATGTGTGCTATTAAACATGATTGATCATTGGCTGGAAACATGGTAGGATTTAGCATAATTTAAAATATGACATTTTAGAAAGAGAAAGCCTGTTTGGATCAAAAAAGGTGTAAAATGTTGTTCATAATGGTCATCAGTAGTGTTATCCTTCATTACATCTTAACTAAATTGCTTGCACAATGCCACCTTGCAAGTGAAATTCCTGATCCAAACGATATGAAGCAGATGAAAATGAGCAGAGCACTCTTCTGAATCAATTTCTCTGCACAAATGTTTAAAACAAAGGAAATTAAGAAACTTTTTTTTTCTTATAACGGCGGTAACTACCCGTTGCCACCTCAGCTAGTGAGACGCTGGCGGCGTCACTAGTCCCTTGGCTTACCTAGAGATGGTACCCACACCCATGAACCACCTGGCCCGCGCTTAATAGGTCCCCACCTCTACCGTTCGAGGGATCGAGCCCGGGTTGAAGAACTCCCAACCACACTCGCCCACCAACCGAGTTAAGCATCGATGGGTTTAAGAAACTTTTTAATTGTCTACATGTACTGATGTACCATGATTGCATATAATAATCTCATAACATCTGCTTCAAAACCAAAAAAAAAATCTTCATGACAGATTACTAATAGCAGTCCCCAAGGAGGGAATTTTTTTTGAATGAATATATAGTGATCACATCATAATATAAAAGGATAAAGAAGGAGACAAGGAGAGAGAGATATCCCTTTCATACTCTAAACTCTCAGCTCTATCCACTGCTTCCATTCAAAGGCAATGATTACAGCTCCAAGAAGAAGGAAGCTGATCACATGGGACAACGTGTAAAGCAGGAGAATAAACCTGTACATTTCCAATAATATCATTATTAAATGGTTAAGGATGGATTATTACTGTATAATTATTAGTAAATTATTAGGAGAAAATACCGAGACCTCGAGTACTGAGCTTGGAATGTGGTACAAAGACCATGAACACTTTTGCCAGAAGCCCTTATTGTATGTAATCTAATATAATATGTTTGAAGATTTAGTGTTAATTAAGGCTTAATTAGGGTCTATAAAGTGTTAATTACTCTCAGCAGGAATGCTCTTTCATGCACTTTAATCTGCTGCTGGACCCGAAATATTTTGTCGGAATTACGAGAGATTTTATGATCCAGATGGTGTCAGAAGATAGATGTTGAACCAGTTTCTGTCCTTGATTATTGTTCAGTGTATTATACAAAAAAGCTTGCTTTGAACGTGCTTTTTATAGCTTCTGTAACAGTTTCATTAGTTGTTAATTACTGATAAGAGCTTAGATTGAATGATATTCGATTCTCTGTTTTGTTCTAGTTAATTTATCTATAGAATAGCGTATAGGAAAGAAGGCGATGCTTCTAGTTAGTTATGGTGGAGTCATTTGATTATCATAGAATCTAGATTTTATTTGAAACAATTTTTTTTATTCATTTTTAAAGTAGATTTTTAGTACAAAATAACTAAAAAATTGTTTTATATAGCAGTACGAAAGCTGTCCGAAACGAAGACTAAGGCTTTGTTTGGGACGGCTTTTTTACTGTTTTCTAAAACGGAGTTTTAGTACAAAATTTTTTTATTTTTGTACTAAAACTCTGTTTTAGAAAGCAATAAAAAAGCTGTCCCAAACGAAACCTAAATCTAATCGATTTATTAATGTGTAGCATATTCCATGGACACTAATCTCGGTATATAGCTTCAAACATCAAATTGATGAAATTACCATAGGCATGCTCATTTAGCTAAAATTTTGTGACATATGGAAGATTATACTAGTCCACAGCATGGAATATGGTGAATGAATTGCACTCAAAGCTTGAGATAAAATTCAAAATTGAAGATTAATTAAGGCTTTGTTTGAGAGCGCTTTCTAAATTAAGCAATTTTTTTATATAAATATTTTAACTAGAAATTTTTATACTAAAAAGTTGCTTTAGAAAGTAACAAGAAAGCTATTCCAAATGAAACCTAAATCTATTTCGATTAAAGAAAGAGATATTTCATATAAAAATAATTTTAAGCATAACATGAAAGAATAAGCAAAAAATATAACTAATATTATTGTATCAACATTAGTTATAACAAGAGTTCAACATAGAAAAAACAGCCAATTAAAAAGTAAATGAAAGAAATAATTATATAAGCAAAAGCTATATAAATTGAATAAAAGTCTAAATACAAAATACATCATAAACTCATGTACAAGTACAATAACTGTTGTTGCAAATTTGCTCATATACTAGATGATTCACCAAGCACTCTGGCTGAACATATTATAAGAAAGATTTTTATAATACATGACTGTGAGATTTTGAACTCAATAAGAATATTCTATTTATTAAAACATGAACAACAAGGCATGGAACATATAGCACGAATAATCAAAGATAACTCATCATATATTTATTAATTTTTATATCTATAAATATATACATACTCAATTTTATTAAGACGGATTTAAATCGAAAATAAATGCACTTACAAAAACATAATGTGTTACAAAAGAGTAATCATGTTGTGCATCCATGAATCTGATTAGTCAATATCTTAATTGATTCTACCAACCTAAATATTCATTGCAAATAGAGATATATGTTTTATGGGTGTTTTACATGCATGCCCCACAATTTTTATGTATTTATACATACATCTAACACCTAAAGTTTAATATTTACTTATATAACATTTTAGTGTCTCAATAACATCAAATCATATGCATGAAAATTATATTACTCATGTAATTAAACATTTGAGTATTATTTCAATAAATATCAAATTTCAAATTTTAAATATGAAAATTGGGTGATATGCAAGCAAATATATCAAATTATAAATGATACACACACTCACACATTAATTGAGCCATATTATAAGACAACAAAAGTAAGAGTAAAAATTCACACCCTAAAAAATTATAAAATAATAAATTAGTAATCCACTTTATTTAAGAGATCCAATCACAATTAGCTTCTAAATGTACAGTGAATTGATTTTTTTTATCAAAATAAATACAAACTCGCACACATGTCACATATGAAAGCTTCAAATTCAAACCCTCTTAGTTGGTAGTCTAAACCCTCAATCAATAGATCAAGGTGAGTTGCATCAAATCTATTGATTTTAATACTAATAGTTTGAAAATTGCATTTGATCTTAATGAAGTAAGCTCAATAATGAAGCACGGAGTTACATATGGCTGAAGTGTATTGCACTATATTTTATTGTATAATTAATATTTAAAGTATAGTACATGCAAATTAGGACTCGAAGCTAACCAAAAAAATTATTGATCAAATATATTTTCAACTCGAAAAACTTCCTTATGAGTGAATCTAAGGAGCATCAAAGTTGATTATGTATTATAATAGTTAAGTTCATTTTCAATTGAATATTAAATTATATATATATATATATATATACAGCTTAACAAAATCATGAGAGAAAAAAATACTATTTTAATATGGCTTTTGGATTTTAGTGGTCCAATTTAGAAAAGTAGTTTAGACTATGAAATCTACTATTGATATTTGGAATTTGTTTTAAAATTGTGGACTGTTTGATTGTTGTTCCATCTATCAAACTATTAAATCAGTATAAAATAAAAACATTAATAACATTATAAGAAATAGACTCATAATTTTGCACAAGTATAAAAAATTTACCATATTATTTAAAAAATAGAAGGGCAAAAATTGAATTATGTCAATTTTAATATTTATTTATTAGTTATATATAACTTTCAACATAAATAAGAAAAAAATTATAGAATGAACGTGTTGTGTAAAGCTCTATTAGGGTATAGGGAGCATAGAGGCATTGAAAATCCTATCGATTGGATTTCATCAATAAGTGAGAGAGAGAAAGTGCATTGATCTCTCTCTCTCAGAGGATGAGATAAATACGCAACATATTGATTTTGTAGATTATATTATTGTTTGGAAATTTTTTGTCTATCAACTTTTGTGCTAAGCTCAAGGCAATAATGATGTTTCTTGTTCAATTTAGTTGTAAGTAGGCCTTCCTTTTTATAATATTGTTGGATGATGTATTACATGTGATAATAGAAAGAACAAATATTTAATATTTTAATTTAGTTAAACACATATAGATAAAAGAATAGTTGTTAGAAAAATTTGAATTTTAACATTAAAATTTCTAAGAAGAGAGCCCATTTCAAATTATTTCAATACCGATGCATGTTATCAGGTACAAATGATGTTCATTCTTATAATTATTAGAGATATTAATACAATATATTAAATATAAACTTCAGATAATAAATTCCATGGTGGAAGTTGAAAGAGCCATATGACATTGAAATTGTCACCTAAATTTCTTCTGTGATATGTTGGTTGCGCTCCTTTGAGGAGAAAAGATCAGAGTCCATAAATATATTTAGTCAAAAA